AAGAAACTCCAATAACAAATCGACAAAATTGCCCTTAAGTAGGTCTTTTCGTGCTGTAACAATTAACAAAGCCACTTTCATATCTCTAGGCCGGAGAGTCGGGGCAAAAGCATTTTTGCCAAGTATAAGTGCCAGTCTGGAAATCAGGGTGTCCACGAAAATGACTAGATGCATCTATTATTCTCCGATCTCCCACTGATGAAGCTAATCGATGCGCATCTGATCGGTTTCACGATTTCCCGATTTCCCTATGCTGCAGGGCGTGAACACAGCCTAATACTTCCCGGGTTTCATCGAATGGTGATGACAGAATTCCGCACGTCAGCCCTCCGGGAAAGCCTACGCCTTTCAATTTTACTGGTTTCGCATCACTGACCTTATGCAGCTTATAAAGCGTACTAAGCGTCGACCAAGCGGAAATAGTCGGATGAGTTTTGAAACGAGTAGAACATTTCCTTTTTTTAGCATATAGCATACGTGACATAGGAAATAGGATGGCAGCCCTGCGGATGTGAAGTGTCAATGAGGCCGGGCTTGGAGCGCAGCCAACTCGTTCTCCCTCACTTGTTCAAGTGAGTAAACGACGAGCAATGGTGGGAAACGTGATACGAGCGATTGATGCAGTACTGTCGCTTGCCAACAGAGAAAAAAGTAAAAGAAGCGGTCGGACCCGTCTCCCTCGATAGGCACCATCATCCACAGTGAACAAGACTACTTATTAGCTTTCATCTACCAAAAAATTTCCTATTCCGATTTTCAATGCCCGATTCTATCCAGCAGTAGAACCATTAATATTAACGACACGATTAGTCTCGGAGCCGAGCACCTGATACATGAAGGGACTGCCACGAACTCGGACTTTCGGATAGGAAGCAGGCCAAGCGAACTTTCCTATAAAAAGCCAAAATCAAATCTGAAGAATCCTCGAGCGCTTATAATCTTTGCGGGAGGAGGTTGTATGAAGAGCTCTTTATACAAAACTAGTATTACCTCAGTGTAAAGACCTTTGCCTAGGCCTAAAGTGGAAAGAGCTTTGGGAAGATTTGTATATCGCGATAGCATGACTAAACCTAAAAAGGTAATCAAAACCAACTGCTGACTAGTTTCGGTCTTCAAGATGACGCTAGCACAATGCCGCGTTGCGTCCCGTTTTGTAACCGAGATTGGCTCTTTAGTAATGTGAAGTCTTGTTCGCTACGGATGTAGGGGCGTGTACGACGGTATGTTTTTGGCGCGGTACCAAAACCGTTTTCCATCAGTTGTAGAAACGAGCAAGGGACAAGACTGTATCACTAGTTCGCACAGTCCTCTTACACCAGCTACTGTTGCTTCCCCGCTTCATCCCGTGGTAGAAGACGGGGTTGGCACCGCGCCAAACTCATTCCGCCTAACATACCCTTCATTCGCAGCAGACAAAAATACAGCACAATCGGAACATTAAGAACAAATGCGAGATACGTTACATTGAAAATCAAAGTGAAATAACAGTCCAGAAAAATGGGGGAAAATTAGAAATGTCCAAATATTCCACCAACCTAACACTGCTGCACTATCTCCTACGTTTGCTACATGAAGATTTCGTCCCCGTATATGTGCAAGTGTTGCACAGGAGCCGGAAGCAGCAGTCATTACTGATAACCTAAAATCAAGATTTGAGAATCGCACAGTAATCCCTAACCGCCTAGGTCTAACTTTACTGCACCCAAAAAAGATAAACTTGGCTATCATTCACAGAATCGCTTTCTCTTGCCTATCAATTTGTCCTCTGTTGTCCGGTAAAGCAGCACGACATAAATCTTCATCGCACATTTCGAAAGCAAATTTAAGAGCTTCGCGAACTGAAACAACCAGTATGGAGTGGATGCTGAGAAGAAGGCAATAGCTGCACTACAGGGCACACCTCGGTCTTTGGGACATTTTCCAAGACAAGATCTCCCAAGAAGTTCGTCGAGAACGAGCAGCTCCCCAATCAACTATGAGAAATGGTGATGGGGGGGTTTGAGGCGTCCAACTGAAAGTTAGGTTAAGTGGACAATTCCAACAAATCGAAAAAAATACTGTCAAGACATGAATAACGATCCGCATAACCACCTACACTCCAGCTCAACAAAAAAGATATCCACCCCTCCTTCCCCACCCGGTTGGGATCCTAACCCTGGATGCCCTATCTTTTTCTTTAGGCACACACCTCTGGCAACCTTCAACGGAAAAGATAAAAAGATGTTAGCGCAAACCTGTATTAAGGTGCTTTCTTTTAGAAAAAGCTTGGTGAAAATTGATGACATTTTGCAATGTAGAGCTCCTAAAAGTGCGCCGTATAAGGTAAATCTAGCCTTTTCGAGGAAAACTACCAATAATGACGAAGTTTAAAATAAGTTAGGAAACAAACCTAAATAAATTAGGTAAATGAGCATCTGCACTGCTAAAAAGCCATTCACACCGGTTTTCCAAGTTTAACTGCTGTATCTGAAACATAGCATAGAAATTCATAAAAAGTGAAAAAAATGGCAAAAACACTTCACGGTGTAGAATAGAAAAAACAGCCTTTTGTGAAGTTCTCCGGTTTTTTAGGACACTCTATCGGCAGTGGTGATTCTTTCTACACAAGCGTTCCAAACACAGACTAAAGGCGCAGTTCTGAAGTGGAGATACAGTAACTTTTGCTGCAGACGATGAAGTGAGCCCGGAGGGCGGGGAGGGGCTGAGTCTGGCACAGCGTCAGCCAGTTTTCCACATTTGTTGAAGCCGGCAAGTGACAACTGTAGGTGGAAAATAGATGGGTTCGCCCTCTAACGCGCCCCAGCATTTGCAGCAGAAACGACTCGCTAACGCCTGATGGGGCTTTCAATGGACTCCTTATGCAGACTGGGACCCGTCTTGCCAAAAAAACTACCGTAGTTAAAGTGGTCAACCCACAGCGCAGCTCGTCCATTATACGACAAGACGACAGTTCCTATATTCATGATGTCAACTCTAACTTGCAATATGGAGTCTTTTAAAGGGTTTCCTCCAAGAATACCAGCGCCCTCACCAATTGTGACCCAGGCCATAAACTATGTGGATAGGGGCTTCGTGGAAGCAAAACATGTCCAATTAAACAAGAAGGGCAACAATCAACAGCTCGATTCACCCCTCCACCCTCCCCTCTTTCATTTGCGCCATTTCCATTTCACAAGAACATCATTTCCAGAAGGTTTTATGGAAGGAAACTCTCTCGAACTCGGACTTCCACCTGTTATCCCTTCCTTTCTTCAGGTCACCTATGCTGCTACAGCTCGTATGAACGCAAATACGAAACAGAAAGGACGACTGACGTAACTAGAAGAACTTACTTCATGCTTCTTTAAAACTGAAGCGCATATATACGGGAATAAAGCTACAGATATATGTCTACTACACGATTGACCACCGTGTCCATCAAAAACTCCAAAAAGAAATGCATTAGATGAAAGACCTAAATGAAAAATGGTGAGTTATGCGCCAGCTTCCTCAAAAACTCGTGGGTTCGCGAAATTTCCTGGATTAAAAATGAAGATGAGTAAAAATGCTGGAAGTTCGCAAACGAAACATACATTTAGCAGCCGAGTAGAAGTCTTCTATTGGACTATTAGCAGCAAGCTGACAAGTATCGATTCGAGCAATCGCTTCCTGATCTACGCTGACAGAACGCTCATGTGCCCTGCAAGAAGTGTAGTGTGAAAGCAAACGAAAATATAAGAAGAAAATGCATTAGGACTGCCAAAAGCAAATCACAGGGTCTTTAACAGCATCCCATGCCTGAGGTATAGAGCTGCATCTGACTGTGAGTATTGCTTTTCCGAGAATTCTCGGATTCCCCAAAGTTGTTTTGTATAAGAATTCCTTCTAGTTGTGTATATGCGCAACTGGATTTAGAGGGGTTGGGGAAAAAAAAGGGGGGGGGGGATAAGATGAAGTCAAAGAGTGAGCAGCGTGATTGAAAGTGACATTTAGCGGAAGCTCTTCCTCAACTCCCTTTCGCAACAGTGAGAAGCCTGGAAGTCACTCGAAAAGCCTATTGGAGTTCCTTCCAACAATCAGTGCGGGATCCCATAGGGAAAAGCAGTTCAGTTCCCCAAAAAGCTTTTGCGACGTCTCGCCCGCGGATGGCAATATTTCTGGGTTGCAGATGCGACATACACAATGTAAAAAATTAAAAATAGATTGGCAGGCTAATGCAAATGAAGAAAACGCTTCGCGCAATGGAGCGGCAAATCGCGATTGTCTTGACCGTCTCGCGATTGGTCTGGGCGGGACATGCTCTGGGACCTGTCCGACACCAAGACCGTCCGCGGTAAGCGGGCCATCTGCTACAACAGCGATAGAATGTAATATAAAGAAAACCAAATTAGTATAATCCTTACCTCAAATGAGCGTCCGCATTCCATCGTGAGTTACGTAGAGCACGGCGGAATTCAAATAACAAATGACGATTCAGCATCACATTCGTGCAATACTGTGTGTATAGAAAAATAGATAATACACTTAAGTAAACGAAACCTGTAATTAAAGATAATAATGAAACGAAAGAAGCAAATGTGCAAAATGCCTCCCCCCCCCTCTAGCCGAACTGAGCCATAGTTAATTAATCAGACAAAACACTAATCATTCAACCATTGATAACACTCCACCAAAATTTCTCACTAAATCAAAACCTTCACCATGTTCCAAAAAAGGGATGGATGTAGCGCATGAACAAAAAAAAACAACGTTCGACATCCCGGGGATGGGAGGGCGTGGCTGCAGAGTTCCGCTAAAAACTGTTTGGGATATGCCTGCGATGGCTCGTGGGATAATTCTGTTTGAAACGGCCGTCATTCTGTCCTGCGCACGAAAAAGACATTATCACAACTGCCCAAAAACGGCACTATCCCACAAAAGCGCTACCATCACCACTTTCAAAGCAATACGCAGTCACGCCTATTCCATCCCGGGATATGGTGTGCATATTGATTGTCAGTATCGCATCGAAAGAGTGCCAAGCTGTCGAATCGAAAATAAAAAGGTGAAAGAAACTGCCTTGAAAGTCAACCTTAAGAAAGAGAAAGAGAAAAGAAGGCGGGCAGAAAAGAGAATGATAAAAAAGGGTGAATTTCATTGATGGAGTGATCAACACGCAATCTTGATCATTTCCTCAGTATTCGCCGTTTCTTTCAAAACACCAAAGTGCACTTTTGATAAATCGATACTCAATGGATGTTCTGTGGGAGTTCTTCGTCGATTTGCCAGTTCAACGCAAACTCTAGACGGGTGGTAAATCACAAATGTTGCACCCATGTTGAAACCTAAGCCTGTTTTCATACTTTGTGTCAATGTTTTGACCGCACAGCAGCGTTTTCAGCGGTTTGAGCGTACGGCAACGTTTTGAATGACTGGAAAGTATAGATATCGATCTAGCGTTTTGAGTACGCCACCCTTTTCAGCGACTGCCGCGATAAGTTCAACACTACTACGACACGCTCAAAACGCTGACGCAAAGTATGAAAACA